TGATGAAATTGCGGGAACTTGCAAAAACTGCGGTTTGATGAAAAAGAGAGAAAAAGTGATTCCCCAACACCCTGTTCTCACTAGGCTACTACCTTAATGTAAAGAGCTATTTCTTATTACTTCCTATGATAAGCAAACATACTACATCACAGAAAGTGCTGGAATATTTAATATTGTTTTATTTCAGACCTTAATAAACACACGGCTCAAACTTACAAAACATTGATGAGTCAAACAAGTTATGTAGCTTTACAAAAGGAATATGCTACATCTTCTGTAAAAATGAATAGATAAAATGTGAAAAAAATGTTTCCTGTTTTACAGCTTTTTTTTCTTTTCTTTTTAATGATGTTCACGTCGCGTAATTACGTCACTTCATAACGTTCCCATGGCAACAGGGGGAAACGGCTGCTCTCGTGTGAAGCAAACGCAACATTTTTCAACTTTCTGCTAAGATATATGTGACTTTTTTTTGCAACAAAAATGCGGGGATTATGAAATCATACAAGCCCTGCATATTTTGCGTGGAAATCGGCAATTTATACGGCAAAAGTGCGGCGTATTTGAAAAAATGCCCCCGCATAAATATGCGGACTTTGGCTGATTATGCATTGAATCATGCGATCGCATAATCGCGTTTTTCTGGAGGGACTGAAAGCTGATGTTCATAATAATAAATTCTAGATGGAATAGCAATTGGCATTTTACAGCACCCTAGTGCCAATTTTGGGAACATGCCATGATAGTTTACAGCAACCTATTTTTGTGAAATCATACTCGAAATAAAAAAATATTGCAGGACTTGGGACTTTCAGACAACTGTGGACATCTATACTTTATTTTTATGAAATAAAGATATTTTATGATATTTACAATATTTCAGTTAAACTACACTTGAACAATAACTTTTATCTTACTTCTTAACAGTTGGACCAAAAAAAAGTGTTCAATGAGTAACTTACAGAACCGATTACATAGCCTAGGCTACAGTAATTTTATACAACAGACATTTTATAAAAATATATCAATAAAACCTAAATCAATGTATTCGGTATTGGACATCAATTTAACATTGACATTAGATGTTGAATTTACATTGAATTTTGGTCACCCGACGTCGCAACCAAAATTTAACCAAATATCAACGTCTTATGACGTTGTGTGCCTGCTGGGAATAATCTGTTGTCTCATTTAACAGACGCTTTTATCCAAAGCAACAGGTAGGAGAGCATTTAACACACACTCGGCACAATCCGGCGCGACGTGACGAGGTCCATACGGGTTCTGTTGTCTTACACGTCTTACAGCGTTACAGTAGGTTAAATCATAATAAGGAAACTTTACGTGTGATTCATGTCATCGCGACATACTGTAACAGTGTGTGTTTGAAAAAAATGATGTAGTCCTCTGCTTTTTTTCTGGGGTGCATTAGACGGCCAAACAGCAAAGCGACTAAACCAACACGAAAATTCGCAAGAGCAACAAAAGATTTGAAGCTCATGGCAGACGCGCCCAATAGATGCTTCGCGCTGTGATTGGCTGAATGTTAGCTCACTCAAGTCTAAGTAACAAATCAGAGAACACGGGCGGAAATATTGGCGCTGAGTAAAAAAAAAATGCGGGGGACAGAATCACCTGTTTCTAAAAGTGGGGGGGACGTGTCCCCCCCGTCCCCCCCGGTTGCTACGCCCCTGTCTGTAGCCTGGGTGCTGCACTGCTCTAGTGACTGCTGCGCCTTTCCCCCTCGAAAATATCACGTTAACAACAACAACAACCCTTTAGAAAATGTAATTCCTTTGTGGATCCTCTTGATCTGCTTTCTCCGTGTTTCTTTTTACAATTCTCAGTGTTTCAGTCTCACGCACGTTGCACGCGAGTTAACCACGCCCACTTATTTGCATGTCGCGGTATACACGGAATAAAAAAATCTGATACGGTTGACATTTTCTACCGCGGTAACGATATATACCGTCATACCGCCCAGCCCTAAGCGGTTTAAAGCGTAACATCAGCCGTCTTTGATTATTATTCAGGTGAATGATAATAATGGTGGAAACGTGATGATTAATGTTGGTCACATGACGATGAGCAACTGTTCGGTTTCGAGAACTTGTTTTATTAAAAGCTGTTTTATTTTTGTCTTCGTCTGTGATGATGCGTTTCCTGTTGTTCGTAAGGGAACTCAAATAGAAATGTCCATCGGAGTGACACTCGGAATATCAACAATGGCAGGTATTTACACATACACACACACACACACAATAATGCGAATTTAGGGTTTAAATGTGTAATTTGAGTTGTGATTTTCATGAATTTAAAGTCACAATGTAAAAAAGCAGACATCTTTACTGTTATATTTCATGCCAAATATGATTGCCTTTAATGTTAATAAAGTCTGTGTTGATGAAGATGATGATGATGATGATGAAGCGTCTGACTCTGTGTTTCAGCGGCGGCGCTGGGGAATCTGGTGTCGGATCTAGCTGGACTCGGGTAAACA